ACACTGTAATATGAGTTCTCAACCAAAAGGAAGAGTTAAACTGAAATGTATGTTTTCTGAAGGATAAAAGCTGTCAGATTGTGTGTTCATAGCTGCACGTAGCTTTGTACTGGAGAGTAACCTCAGTCACTGGCTATAGCTGCAGAGGTGTGCTGCAGCTCCATTACATGCAATGTTTCTTCAGTTATTCTGCTTTGCAGGGAAGCCCTGCAGAACTTAATCTTTGAATTAATTGTGTTTATCATGGCAGCTCTGAGAGACATAATCAAGACATCCCCAAGTCTACTGCCATCAAGGCAAGGCCTTGGTGCATCTCAGGGTGGGCTTGAATTCAGCCAGTGAGGAAGCTTGTGCTGCATATCACCTACCAGTATCCCACTTGGCTATTTAAACATGTCTGTGAGCTCTTTTGTTACTCTTTTTTGTATTCTAAATAAATTCCAAACTGGAAGCATAGTGAGATTTGACTTCATGGCTTTGACCCTGGTTTAACACACTTTCAATCTGTGTTAAAGATTTCTGTACTTGTAGTTTTGCTAGTACAGCCTTTTCTACTTCAATTTTTTTTTTTTTCTTTTCAATTAATACTTGGTCTTCCTAATGAGCCACAAAATTTTTTCACCTAGGCAATCAGGGTTGAAATCAGTAATATCAAGGTAAGTAGTGATGTGCATCTCTTGATGAACATTAATGGTACCAATTTCAATAACACTTTCACTGTTAGATAAAAGCTGGCCTGAAGATAATGAATCTGCCTTCAGGAAAAGCTAAGCCATAATAGACTGGGGAAAGCATTTGTCCTAATTATGGTAATTATGTTAATTTAGGCTTTAAATAATAAGAGGGTGGCACTTTATATATTTAATATTTCAGTTAACTGTGAGCGTTAAGGAAAACGAGATATCTTAGAGATCCAGATTCACTCCAGCATTTCATATAAGCAATGCTAAGGAGCTTCCTGGGAAAAGCAGCAGTGTGAAGAAATAAGATGTTGCTGGGCTATTCCATGTCCCTCTCTCACAAACACAGTGTTCAGCCAGGCCTCAGATCTGCAGGTAGGGCACTGCAGCCTGCTTGGAGTAGCTGAGGACCTGACCCACAAATCCACTGGAGACTTTTACTTCCACTGCTTTGGTTGTCTTAGCTGCTTTCCAATCCAGTGGTGTGATCTGAGACTTATTGTACTGAATCTCCCTGGCAGGATTAGAGCAACCTCAAGGCTATTTCCTTCAAAACCAGTCTATGAAGAGAGCTTTCTTTGCAGTGAAATGTCATCTTTATGAATTCAGAATGAAGAAAGTTATAATCCCCTGTGACTTTCTATACCCACATGTGCCTCAGTATCCTGGAAATTACTGGCTTTCCTGCTCCATACATAGTAGTTATATTTGCTTAGCCACTGCTGCATGTTTTCCAAAACTTTGTTATCAAACCAAGCCAAAGAATCTTCACATCCACGTTGTTTTCCCATGCAGGACATGTCCTCTCCTGGTGCCATTGGTGCCCATATTTCCAGTAAGGCTGGGTCAGCTCTTTAGGAGACAGGCAGCAACTTGCATTGGTTTTTCTTGTGTGCAAATGTATCTCATGTTTCCCTTCTCTGGAGACAAATCAGATTGGGTTGGGCTCTTTTCTTAATGGATACAGGAGGAAATACACATTGCAGTTTGTGCAGGCTCTCAGCTGCCTTTGGGCTGGGTATTTCAACACTCTCAGAGAGCAGCTGCACAGCAAACAGCCGGGACCTGCCTTCAGATCCACCACCAAGAGTGCCTATGGTGACCTGGACTCCCCTAGGTGAGCTGCAGTTCCTGTAATGTGCATGCCCTCACAAAAAAATTCTAGAAGGGGACTGAAGCTCCAGCAAACAAGGCTCAGATGCAGGATCAGCTGTGGGAAAGCAGGAAGGAAGGTTTGTGCAGGACTGAGCAGCTGCACAGCTTTGATGGCAGCAGAGAATGCCATTGCTTTCATTCTGTACCTGTCTTACAACCTTGACATCTCTGTGCATCAACTGCTGCCTGATTCCCTGGCATGTTCTTCCCCAGCTGAGCCCTGCAGTTCCCCTCAGAGGGCTTCTCCATCCCAGTCACTGCTCTCTGTCTATCTGTCTATCTTAGTCTCTAATCTGGGCTATAAAGCAGGCCCATTTTCCAGGCAGTGTTTACTGAAAACACAGGAGCGTGCCTGGCTCCCTCGGCCATCCCTCCTCCTGCCCTCCCACTCCTGGCAGGCTCTGGAGGTCAGGCTGCTGCAGGACTCTCCTGCTGCCTGTGGGAGAGCGTGCAGGGAAATCAGCAGCCCGTGAGCCCATTAACCCTGACAGGTTTGCTGTGCCTTCCTCTGGGGTTAAGGGAGTTCATTATGCCCACAGCCTGTCAAGGTGGCTGACAGTAAAGCAAACAGTGATTGAAATGTTCATTAGAGAGAAAACTGGAGTGCTAAAGTAAAGATTTGGGATAGGAGAACACAGTGAAACATCAAGGCTTTCAGTGAAATCAGTGATTTTAAAATGAATTTTCTAAAGAAGCAGAGAAGAGATAATGAAAAGGGTGGAAAACAATAAGGGATAATTATGAGGTTGGTGTCATTCACAAATGGCACTGGAGAGCTGGCAAGAAGGAACTGGAACTTGCTGTAGTGCTTAAATTAGGAAATACTTATCTTTAATAAAAAAATACATTTGAAATTGTAACTTCCTTGATTTTAGTGCTGTAGATTAATTCTGACTATGTATTCAGTAGTTATGCTCATATTTCTGTAGCTTTACACTAACATTTGGGAAGAAGAAACCACCTGGAGCTGCATCTTTGTCCCTGTTTCCTGACAGCTGGGATTTTGACAAGATAATTAGGGCCTTTGCTTGAATAAAGCATTTCTAGATTTCTTTGCAGCTTCTTCTGAACTAATCTTCCCATTCTTATCCACCTTGAAAAGATTACTTGCCTTATTCTAGGAATGAGAGGAGCTGAATTCTTTGTCTTGCCCCTACTGCATAATTTTAAAAATATTTTTATTTTTTACCTTGGACTTAAAGGCAGTAGAAGGAAGTGAGCTGGGTGATTTTTTCCCTCGATAATAGATAATTTTCTTGCCTGGTGTTGTCACTAAAACTCTACAGGCTGTTGAAACAGTGTTGTAATGGGGCAATACTGAGCCTGTAGGATGCACACTGAGCACTGATGTTTTAAAAGAGAGACTTTTAGGAGCCTTCCCCACTCTTGTTAAAGCCAGGACACATCCCTGCATGTCAATGGAAGCAAGATAAGATTTCAAGTCCCATCTTGTGTCCTACACATTTTCCGGTGTGTCCGGAAATTTCAGTTATCTCCACTCATGGCTAGAGATCAGGAGAGCAGTTTGAATTTTTAGTCAAATAAGCCAAATAAACCTCTATCTTCTCTAGTTATATATTTATCCAGTAATTAACCCAACTTTCAAGCTCACAAACTAGTTCTTTGTCTCTTTAAATATTTGTCCTAGGGGTTAGGAGCAATCATTTCCAGGGAAGATGAAGAGACACAAGAGGGATTGGTCTCTGAGCCAGGATGGCCAGGAGCTCCTCCATGGTCCCACATGAATGCCAAGGCTCTTTTGCACTACAGTCCAATCTGATGTCTGCAGTTTTAACATCCTTGGATGTTAGCAGGATATTTTTGCACGTGGTTGTGTGTTTGTATTTCCTATCCATTTTTATTTCTGGTAAACAAGAAGGAGAGAACATCTTTTCCCTTTCCTTTCCCCTTCCCTTTCCCTTTCCTTTTCACAGTTTAGGACAAGGAAGAATTCTTGTTCAAAAAATACTCTTAAAAGGAAAATTCTGATTATCTGTTTTGTTGTAGATTAACATCTACAAAAGACTCAGAGAAGTCCCAGTTACAGTGAAAGCTGGTATGAAGTTCCAGAATGTGGGCCCTTTTTGTAGAGAGTAACTAGAATAATTAAATATTGATGAAAAATTATATCAGAAGAACTGAGAAGCCTGTTTTTTTATGTAATTATCTATTTAAAAAAGAGATATTTCAAAGTAATATTGAGAAAAAGTACCATTTTAAAAGGTAATTACCTACAAAACAAGATCAGTGATCTGGAGAGAAACCAGTTTTACTTAACTAGAAAGTAGTTGCCAAGAGGTTTATTCCATGAATTAAATTTTATGGATTCTATATTAAAAAACCTCTGCAATGTAGCTGAACAATTTGTTCTTGCCTTCACAGGAGCTATGATAATAAATGCCAAGGGGTTGGATGTGTAGGTTTTTCATCCTCACTAGGGGTCTTCATTAATTAGAATCTTTTGGCAGCCATTCTTTCCTTTCTGTTTGAATTGTTTTTAGTAAAATGAAAGGGTAGCATTTCACTTGAAGAACTAAAGAAATTTATTTCACTCCTATTACTGAAATGATCTTAAGCAGAATGTTGGGAGAAAATTCATTTAACATTCCTGTCAGCCTTGATGATGTTTGCTTCTCCTGCTGGTCCTTTCTATTTCCTCTTTCTCTGATTTACAGCATAATGAACTAATAGAGTCAGAACTGCATCTTACTTTAGGCAGAAGAAATAATTGGGCAAGCAAAGCTACAAACTGCCTGACACCTCTGAAAATCAATTAACTCATTAAATTTGGTCCAGAGTTTGTTATTTTGATTTGTTATAATTGAACATTTGCATGTAACATCTGTGGAAGCCTTGGGAATGAAAACATATGTATAATAAATCATATTATTTTTACCCAATCTAATATTTATGAAATATGGAAAAAGATGTTTTGTAGTTTGGCTTTTTGTTGCATTCAAGTTCAGGGGATTTGCTGTGGACTTTAAAGCAGTTACCTTCCACTTCTCACCATTTCGCATTCAAGTGGAGCAGGAATCACAGGATTTGCCTGGGCTGGAGGATGATGAAAACACTGCTAGCTGCTGAAAGAAATTGAATACAAATTGGGAAATGAAATGCTATGAAGCATTGCAAACATTAAATATTTTGTTGTTTTCTCTTTAGAGATCACTGCATGATGTGAAACCTTCCTGACACATGAAGGCCTTTGGAAGCTGAGGTGCCTGAGGGCTGCTGGCTCAGAGCAGGGCTGGCCAAGGGACCTTCTCTGAAATCCCTTCTCCACGCAGGAAGAGAAACATTTGCTCATCTGACGGTGCACCTGGAACAAATTTGCATGGTCTGTTGATATTTATTAGTGCAGGTAAGTGAGGAAGAGTTTAAAGATTTTTCATTTCAACTTCTTTGAATTATGCATTAGGGTGAGTATGCTCAGAGCCTTTTGTATATGCATTTTATTGTCCAGTTTGTGTTTTCTCCTGAGATGTTCATTAGTTCAATTTCAGCTTTCAGATAAGCTCCAAGGTGGGAGTGGGTTTATTTTAGAGGAATGAAAAAGACAGAAGAATTTGCTTTATATCTTTGCTGCCCAAAATCACACTTAAAAGATCCAGCTGTGAAAAATGCAGGTAATAGACTCTCTGCTCTGTTAGGCAGAGGTAAAAGATGAAAGATAAGCCTGCTGGCAACCAGAACACTATTTCAGGTGCTTCTCAAGTGTGTTACAGGCAAGTATACAAAGACATTTCATCATATCACTGATAAAGATTGTGCTGTATTGAACTGATCTGCAAACATGCAAACAGACTAAACTTGTGTGTGCATTGTGCCTATGTGTGCATCTGGATTTATGGGCAAGTGGAAGGACAGCTTTTCAAGAGCTTTGTAGTAAAGTAAGAGAAGTTCATTGCTCATTAACTGCTTTCCAGTTGTTCTTTTATTTTAGCTCTGTTTAGCATTTTTAGTGGATGGGAGTTCTAACTCAGCTGTGTCATGACAGAGTAGCAAAGAGCATTTCCAGATTTAAGGGCTAAGGCTTTATAAAGGTAAGGGGATAAAAGGAGTTTACAGCAACTGTGCTTGACTTCCTTTTCACTGTCACTGCCTTCTGGAAGCTGTTTTGTTCTGGCTGCTGATTAACTTCTTCAGTGGTTATTTGAAAGTCAGCAAACAAGGATTGTTTCTGAAGCTGAAAACAGTTATCAATAATATAGGACTGGAACATTTGAACAGCAGCTCCCATCTCCAAGAGCATTTAATCCTCCTCAATGTTTTTAACATTAGAAACATGGTGACTTTCCACAGTTTTGTCCATATTACCTTGGATGTAAATATCCTTCCTAAAATGTGTGGATTTTTTTTGACAATGTTTCTCTTTGGCAAGAGAGAAAAGTAAGATCATAAGGAAACAGGTTATAGCAGGGCAATAAATGAGAGGTTTGCCAAGAAAATATGCATAAAGTTTTAAAGCCTGAAAGTAGCACATTCTACTTTTTCCCTCCCTGAGACCCTTGTGAAGGATCCTATTCAAGATGCCACTTAGTCTGTGACTGTTGATGAAGTCTGTGCCATCATCACCAAGAATAACCAAGATGTTGGGCTAGTTTTAATTAAATATATGTGGCAGGTAATGAAGTATGGGATATTTTGGATGCTGTTTGTCAGGCAGAATTGGATAAATCTGACAACATCAACTAAGCTTTGTATAGGAATGTAAATCCTGTTGTCTGCATGGGATTTGTGGAAAGAGGACCCCTGGTACAGAATGAACGTCTGAGTGGTGCCTTTCTCGTGAGCTCAGGAGGGATTGGTTTTTTGCAGCCTCTTGCAAGGGTCCCATCTCTGTCTTCAGTCCTGGCACCAAATTCAACTACTAGGTCTTTATTCAAAAGTATTAGTGGAACAAATAATAACTAAATTCTCCTCTTGAAGTCAGATCTGAGATGCTAAATATGTCTGTCAGAACCTTCCTGGAAGAATGGAAATTTACAGTAAATGCATCACTGAAAGCAGAAGTATTATTCTCTATTATAGTTCTGCACAGCTCAGCAGATAAAGCAGATACTTTGTGCAAGCCTGGCAGCAGAGATAGACTCTTTCAGAGGCATTTTATTAATTTTTCAAGAGTATAAATCAAGACAATTTCATGTTGAATAAAGAATTAAATACTTTTTGCTCTCATTTCCGGACTCTCAGTAATCATTAAGGAGACAGTAAAAGGACTGCAAGGGAATTAGCTTTTTGACCCAGTATTCACCAACAGTAGATTCTGCTAACAGTGGGAATAGTCTTAATGAGAAGTTTGCAAGTGAAAGATTTATATACTTTCATTATAGGCAGATTTTGTGAGATTTTTAACTCTGTGGCCTGAATGAAAGCTTTGAGGCAATTACTAAGAAAATAGTAAGAGTGGATATGGTGCATGAGATATCCTGCCTTGGGAAAAAGGAGATGTGATTAACTTCCAGGTCCTGGTGCTGAGATTCTGGTGAATGGCACATGGTCTTGCACTTCCATGCATTTCACAGGATCCCTTCTCCTCCTCTGAGGTCAGTGGAGAGGAGATAAGCAGCAGCCTTTCAGAGCTGAGACAGGAGGCAATGTAGGTTATCATATATATTCAACATATTCTAACTTCTCTTCAAAGTTCCTCAATTCCAGACTACTGGGTCTTCAGAGCACACATTTGCTGTACAATAGTTGGATTTGTCACCCTGCTGTAGGTGCCAGCAGGAAATAATCTGTTTTGCTTGATCCCTGATCTGTCTTTGTGTGGGAAGAGTAGGCAAGGGAAGGTAAAAAGGGGATAATATTCTGCTGCTGTTCTGCAGCATGCCTCTGGCAGAGACCTAATCCCAAGGGTCAAAAGCTGAGAAATCAAGCAACTTTAAGCTAACAAAATAAATGCTTGGCAGTCCTCCTCCATGAGGAGCCAGATGCCTCAAGATTTAACACATGGATGTGCCTCCTCTGCATAATCTTGTCCCATCCACCAATGAGTGAAAATGTCCAATTTGGAAAAAAATTCTCTGTTCTGCTTCAGCAGGGGCTTCTCCTTATCCTGGCTAGTGGGAGGAATAACAGTGTTTATTCGCTTGAGCAGGTGTCCATGGAACCATCCCATGCCCCAGATGCTCAGGATTACCTCAGGATTGATCATGGTTCCTATGGGACTATTTCTGTGAGAATTATGGTAAGGCCAGACCTGTGCCACTTAAATTGATCTTCAATAAGTAATTTTTTTTAATGTACTACAATAATACTGGTCTGCAAAGGTAAAATATATTCTGTTGAAGAATCTTCAGTCCACTTCACTGAAATTCCAACTGTGTCCATTTTACAAGACCTGCTTTATATCAGTGGTTTTTTTTTTATCAGGATACTCTGTTAACATTGCCAACATAGGCTCAATAAGGTAATGGGAAATATATTTCATTCAAATGAAAAAAGCTGTGAAATCCAAAGGTAAGCTTTATAAAGGCCATATTGCCACTGAGTCCTGGGAAGATGGCTGCATCTCTTTGACCTGATGAGAAATGAGAAATGTAGGAGTTTCTCCTGAGACTTAGCACAGTGCATTGGCCTTCCTTCCTGAATTTGAAGGATACTCTTAAGATAACCTGCAGGAAATGACAGGAACTGAATCAAGGATTTGACCAAATCACTTTGACCAACATTCCTCTTTCATGTTAGAGCAAAACAATATTGCAGCCTGACTTATAATAAATTGCTGCTTAATAAAGCCAGAAGTAAGTCATCTCTTTTCAGCTAATTCCTGTTCAGCTTCCCCAGCTATAAACCCTTATTAAAGAAGCTTTAGCAGCTGTACTGTTCTCTGAGGCATGAACAATCTTGATTAAAGCCACTATACTGGAGTCAATGAAGCTTAAACCTTGATATACTGGGACACAAGGAGGGCCCAAGCCAGCTTTATGTTCCCCAGTGTCCTGCTGGCCAATCCACAGATGACTGCTTGTTTTTGAGTCTGCAAAGCAGCTTGCCAGACCTCCTGCCTGTCAGATAAGCATCGTGTTATCTGTGCCTATCTGCAAGGTTAAGAGCAGCCAGCAGAAAGCAGCGGTCACCAAAGAAAAGATATTTAAGCAACTTGGGGGCTGAGCTTCTGGCATTCCTGCTTTTGACAAAGAGGAGTTTTTGGGGGGAAAGATCATGGATTTTACACTTCAGGAATTGGGTTTGAGGAGTACAATTGAACTGGTAGTGCAGTTTTTTTAATAGCTCTAAGGAAAGCTGTGCCTCACAGTGCTATTTAAATCACCATGCGACTGTAACTTCATTAACAGTGTTAATGCAAGGTGATTAGTGATTGATACAAGTCAGCTGTGCTGATAAGTTAGTTTCTGCTCTGAATAATATCATGTGACTGCAAGGAATGAAACCTAGCACAGAATTGGAATGCTGGCTACAGATACAATGGTACTGCAGTCACAGATTAACACCGAATCAATGAGTTTTGATTACTGTATTTTTAATATTAATATTTTTTCAGTTTCTTCTGGCTATGATGTAAATGACTTTGAATTAGATCTGAAAAGCATGGAAACAGCTTTAAGTAGAAATTGATTTTTGGTTTTTTTCAGTTTTGGTTTTCAGTCCTTGCAACAAATGAAATATATTTTATTAGTTTTACATTTGTTTTCATTTTGTATTTGCCCCAGAGAGTATTGTAAAATATACTCCCCCAGGTAATGAACTGCTGAAATATTCTGATGAGAAGTATATAAAAAACATTTTGATTTCTTAATTGGTAAATGAAAAAAATTTCTTGTAAAAGTTAAAAAGCTCCAGAAACATCAAGATTATACTGTGAAAGATTTAGTCTGTAAACTAGGCCTGGAACCTCCAACTCATCTGTTGCTATTGCAAAATATCTGAGCAAGAAAAGAAGGGATAGTAGCTGGAGCAAGGCCACCTGAACTAAACATTGATTGGGACATTGCAGTTATAGAATCAAGAATCATGTAAAAACATTTTTTATGATTAATGAAGATTGGTTAACGAGTAACTGGCAAAGAACAGATCGCACCTCTTCTAGCTGGTTATTTAGGTGTCATTTGCTTTAGTGATATCACAGAGCTATTGTGTTCTATTTGGATAACCTTGTCTGATACACTAAAAATCACTGTTTTTACAAGATTGTTTCTTTTTGAGTTAAAGCAGAAAGGCTGAGTCATTGCTCTTAACCCATCTGTACACGGGCAGCCTCTGAAGTCCATGCCAGCATGTTTGGGGAAAGGCTCAGGAAAAGTGAGAATGTATGGTTCTGAGGGTGCAAATGGCAGAAATTCAGGCCTGTGCACAAACAAAAATTCTGATCTATGTTCTAACTGCAAACTGAGAGAA